CCATCACCTCCTGGCAAATAGAAGGGGAAGATATGGAGGCAGTGACAGATTTTACTTTCTTAGGCTCCATGATCATTGCAGATGGAGACAACAGCCACCAAATTAAAAGATGCTTGCTCCTTGGGAGGAAGGCGATGACAAACCTTGACAGCATCCTAAAAAGCAGAGACATCACCTTGCCAACAAAGGTCCCCATAGTCAAAGCTATGGTTTTCCCTGTAGTGATGTATGGAAGTGAGAGCTGGACCATAAAGAAAGCTGACAGCAAAGAATTGACGCTTTTGAATTGTGGTGTTGGAGGAGGCTCTTGAGAGTCCCCTGGACTGCAAGGAGAACTAACCTATCAATTCTAAAGGAAATCAAGCCTGAGTGCTCACTGGAAGGACAGATCCTGAAGCTGAGGCTCCAATACTTTGGCCATCTCATGAGAAGAGAAGACTCTTTGGAAAAGACCTTGATGTTAGGAAAGTGTGAAGAGGCGAAGGGGATGACAGAGGATGAGATGGTTGGGCAATGTCATCGAAGCTACCAGAATGAATTTGACACAACTCCGGGAGGCAGTGGAAGATAGGAGGGCCTGGCATGCTCTGGTCCATGGGGTCACGAAGAGTCGGACACGACTAAACGACGACGACGGAAGGTCTGGAAATAAAGTTGCTATACTGGTACTCTTGCCAGATCCTGGAGTGGGCATTGTAAGGTTCTCTCAGGTCACGGTAAACTGGACAAGATGACGCGATGCTTCTCTCAAGGTTACTTTTGAACCGAAAACAATTTTTAGTGTTTTTGTAACCACATATTTGTGACCTGTTTGCAAATAATGTTGAATAAGTTTGCAAATAATGTCGAATTTGGACTATTGTTTTGGCACACATTGTGTAAGAAAATGACATGCAACTCAACTTTCAGATTTATTTTGTTCTAAATATTACTGGATCTGTCAGTGCTAGATAAATATTTTGTCATTCTTTATTTATTGTTGCACATTATGTCCTGCAGAAGAACAGCATTTTTTAATTGGCAGAAGACAGATTACAATATTCCTCAACCTCATGTGTGCTCTTGTAAGACTACAGTAATGCTTTTAGTTCACTAAATGCTAGTGTTGCACAATTATTCTAGTAATTGTAAATGTGAAATCTAAAGCACACTTGTTGCATTTGTTTCAGTACAATTTTGTCTAGTTTCCCTGGAGATGTCTTTAAAGATACCAGCTTAATCTTAACGTGGATTTAGGGCCAGAATGGCAAGCGATCTTCATCCGGCCTGCCTGCTGCATCTGCCTTCACAAATGTCCTTAGAAAAGTTGGCAGCATGTCTGTGTTTACATGCGAGAGTATATCTACCAAATGCAAAAACGCAACTTGTGAATCTATTCTTAATTAGCCATATTAACTGAAATGCAAGACAGTTGGCCTTTCAAGATTTTAGCTATGCTTTTAAGCAACAACAGCCTTCGGTTTACTATAATAGGGTTTGTTTCCACTTTAGTTGAGAAGAGGAAAAAGTCGCTAAGACTTCAAGGACCTCTCTCTGACAAGCGGCTGTCCTGAGAGGCGGTCCCCCTGGACATCGCTTCCATTCCCTCCCCCTCCGCCCGTTTCTCTCCTCCATGCTCCCGCGGTGTCTTTTGGGAATTGTGGTTCATTTCTACGCTTAGAGACGATTGAGCGGATAGTCGAGGAGTTTTGCCTCCAACTCCCGAGATGCTCCGCGGGGCCAGGCCGCACTGGCGGCGTCTGTTCCTGTTTCCCGGATGTCGTTCTCGCCGGAAGAGAAGCGAGTTTCTTTGGGGGCCGGCCATCTTGTGTGGGCAGCAAACGAACGCGCAGGGGGTGGGCCTGGCGCCTGGGCAGCATCGGAGGAGGATCCCACCGAAAGGGGCCCATCATGCCCGGACACCTGCAGGAAGGCTTCGGTTGCATCGTTACGAACCGCTTTGACCAGCTCTTGGACGACGAATCCGACCCCTTCGAGGTGATCCAGGCGGCTGAGAGCCGCAAGAAAGAGAGCGCCGGCGGAGGAGGTGGAGGCGGCGGTGGAGGAGGCCACCAAGGCGGCCGTGGGGGAGGCGGCGGCGGTGGCGGGCAAGCGGCCCAGGCCAACTCTTCCTCGGGCGGCGGTTCGGGCCAGGCCGGCTCCGGTGGCGGGAGCGGCAGCGCTGCCAAACAGCTGCGCAGGGAGTCGCAGAAGGAGCGCAAGAACCCGTTGCCGCCCTTCGCCTCCTCCGCTGGGCCTGGCGGCGCTGGGGACCGGCGGGAGGATGGCGGCGGGCAGCCCGGTTCCGCGCCCCTCAGAAAGGAAGGTGAGTGGCGGAGACCCTTTTCCTCCATGGGGAGGCAAAGGTAGAACCAGCGGGGCCCTCACAAGGTCAAGGTGGGGTGGGAGACAGGGAGCCTGCAACCGCCGACCCCCACCCCCCCCCACCCCGGATCCTGAGAACAGCCTGTCGTCCTCCAGTCGGGAGGCCCTTCCATTTCTTCCCCAGAGGGCTGTGCAGAGGCAGATGCGAGCCATGACAAGTTTTCTGACGGGAAAGCCTGCCTGAGGCGCGGAAGGCGCTTCATTTCGCCCCCGTTGACCCACCTCGTGTTGGTCAGCCGCCGTGTGAAAGCGCGCCATTTGGGAGGGAAATGGGGATGGGGAGTAATGCACTAAGTGGGCTGAGGCAGCCGGCCCCTGCATTCTGTTTTAAAGGCTGTTTGTGAAGGGGTGACGTTGACTCTCAAAAGGTATACCTCAAAAAAGAGAGAGAGAGAGAAAAACTTCCTTACGGTTTTGGCCGGGATGCTTGGCCCTTGAGGCCTGAGTGTGCGTGTGTGTGTGTGTTTTCAGGAGGGGAGACATGTTGTGAAATGTATATTGAGGTGGTGGTGGGGTTGGTAAGGTGAGGTCTGAAACTCTGAAGAACCCTGAGTGATTTGGGCCCCTCAGTTCTGTGACTCGTGGCGGTGGTAATGAAGTTTAGCCAGTTTACTCTTAGGCCACGTGCGTTGCCCGCATGTTGCCTTGGCTGGTGGTTGGACTCCAGTCATCTACCGCCTACTAGGGTTGGGCACAGAGACAAAATGGAGCCATTAGAGGGGGTTTAGCGTTGTAACCTGCAAAAGGACTATTTTATGGAATTTGAAGCTTCAGTCATAGATTTACAGCTCCACACTATGTTTACTGTGAAGTTAAGCTGTACTACCATGCAAATACCTCTTGAACATGAAAGCTTAGGTCTTTGTTTTATAAAATGTTAGCCTTACTTTTTTTACTTGAGATTCAAACATACGTATTTATACTTAAATGAAATTATAAGATCTGTGCACCACAGTTCAATATTTTCTTGTCTTTTTTACTTCAGTACTATGTGGAACAAGTGAAATTGTGTTTTAGAAATATGAAGAAAACCGGAGGCATGTATTGGTGTACTTCTGTCATTTTGACAATAAATGTGGCACATTTTAAATATATATAAATATGTGGGGGTGTTAAAATGTTGAATAAGTGGTACTCAGCTGTACTGTGCTTGGCTTGTTTTTGTTCGTAAGACCAAAATTATGTATTGCTTGTTTTACAATAGCACTCTTTTTGTGTGCTTTTTTCAGAAATAAAATTGACATGTAACTTCATGGCATGAAAAGTTACCATAATTTTATAATTGTTTGGCAGCAAGCAAAATGCTCAGGTATAATTTGCATAATAAGTGCTTATAGATTTAATTAATTTTTTAAAAAAACCTGTGTAGTGAAGTTAATGTAATACTACTTCTATAGAGGCCTGATTATTTGGCTAGATTTTCAAGGTTGCATTAAAAAAAAGTAAATACATATTTCTCCCCTCCAAAAAATATTTCCTCAGATAATTGATGGAAAACAGGAACAACAATGGAATTTACTAGGTTTTTTAAAAGAATGTTAGGAGTTTGTCAGTGTTTCTGATCATGGAAATAGTCATCTATATCAGTGGTTCTTAACCTTTTTGAAAGAAACGCCCCCTTGATCCATTGAGGAAGTTATCAGCACCCCTCCCCGCGGCGGTGACATGGGGAGGGGGGCGATGATAACTTCCTCAATGGCGGTGCTGACACCACATCTGCTGTCAGCTCCAGCTGCTCTGGATCCGACGGCATGGCACCGTGGGGAGGTGGGCAATAATAAGTTCCTCAATGGTGGGCATGGCGGCGCCGGCAGCACCACATCTGCTGCCAGCACCAGCTGCTTTGGATCCGGCAATGCGGGGAGGGGGGCGATGTTAACTTCCTCAGTGGCGGCGGTGGCGCAGCAGCTCCATTGTCCCCCCTTCTGTTCCTGTGCCCTGCGTCGCCCCTTTTCCTTCCATCCCCCCCCCCAAAAAAACATGAAATCGCGCCCTGGGTGGCGATATCGCCCAGGTTAAGAACCACTGATCTATATAACCACAGGAAATACTTTCTTTGATTCAAAGTAGTCTGCACTTTTCCCGGAGTGGTATTGCAGAGGCGTAATAACTACTGCCAGAGTTATTTAATATTTTGTAAAATAACTTTTTGATATGTTTTGCTGGTCTGTTATGTGAACTTTGCTGTATAACTGTGCCTTATGCTGTCTCAGTCTTTTCTATTTATTGGCCTAATGATGAAAAATTTTCTGCTTTTGTATCTTTATAGTTATTTCTTTAAATATATGTTATTGAACAGATAATATAAACCCACTTGGCTCTCCTCTAATGCTGTGGCTGACCTCCTCCTCCAAAGTACTTGGGGAGAGGGAGATCTGTGAACATGGGGTGGCATCGGGCCTGTTTAGAGAAGGAGTTGAGAAGATTGGCTTATTGTCCAATATGAGAGGATTGGATTATTGCTCACACAATGGGGCAGACAGCAGATATAGATGGTTGTGGACTAAAACATGGTATAACAGTTTATAGAAATTTCTAAGTTTTATTTTACTAGCTGGATTTAGAAATTTGTAAATATATTCAGATTGGTTGTATTCATGCAAACTATGTTTATCCAAACGAGTTGGTTTCTTAAATCCTAAACAAACACATGTAACACCAAACTGTAGTTCAGATAATGATAACTTGTGATGCTTTCTGAGGCACGTGTAAAATACACTAGTAGAGTCTGAGTTTATAATGTCATATTTGTACTTGTAGAAGACAACAGATGCATATTCCTGTACATCACACATGAGAAACCCTTGATTTGCCAACTGTTTGGGGCTCCTGTTCCCACAACCACTTACCATTGGTAATACTGGTCTGCTTGTTCAAAGTTAACATTCAAAATAAACACAGAGTATCATTGTCTAAAACACATTCACTTAACATCCTTCTGTTTTAGTTTTGAGGAAGGCTTTTTTACACTGGATACCTCTAACCATTGAATTGTTAAATAGTAATGATATACAAGATGTCTTGTATATACAAGACAAATAGAGTATGCATGCTGGGGGGGAAGTCCTGTCATAGTTTATCAGAATATGGAATGCTTTGAAATGACCTAAGGAAAATAGAAGGCAAAACGTTGTATATTTGCTTACTGACACATATCTACAGTTGGTAAGGACCCTTTGCCTAGCATAATTTTATTTATTTATTTAAAAATATTTCTATCCCACCTGTCTTCCCAAAAGGGCCCAAGGTGGATTACAGCATTAAAACAGTATGTGAAAGTTTAAAAAAGTAATCATACAAATATTTAAAAAAAGAATTAAACATTATATTAAAATGGTAACTAAGGTCAATATTAAAACACAGCACAGCAGTCCATTTAAAACCTCTTTCAGACCACCAGTCATTAAGTAAAAGTCATTAAGAAGATTCTGATCAGGTAAGAATTCTTTTTAGGAAGGTGGTGTGGTCGCTAAGAGTATGCCTGTGCTAACCCACCAGTCTTTCCTCTGAATTTTCTGGTAAAGGGAGGGGATGGTAAGAGTTGGTGACCACTCAGAAAGGACCTTTGTATGAGGAGGGGAGCATTTTTATTATAAGCATCAAATGTCACTTATAGAACAATTGCACATTGTACACACCAACACATAATGTATGTGTTCAGAGGTTTAAAGCAGTTCTGTAGAATCAGCATTGTCTGCTGTATAGTTCGTTTTCTTGGTGGTATGCACAGTATCTTTATTAGATCACTAAAATAATATTTAAAAGGTGAACTTTTGAGTCCTTCAAGAGTCTTCAGGTTGGACATAGACTTTGCGGTGTATGGAGAGACAAAACAGTCCAAAAATCATATGAATGGATGAATGCAACAGGTTAGTTAAAGTATTCAGTGCTGTGAAATTCAAACCTGAATAATTGGATTGAGGAGTTCATTTTCTTGCAACCAATAAGTGATACAATTCAGCTTTATTTTACTGTATTTTTTCTCCAGCATGTCACCTAAATGGTGTGTCTAGCTTTTCTGTTTCTAGGTGCTTGGATTGACTTGCAGCTTTTTATCTACAGAAATGGACAATTGATACTGCATTCACTGAGTTGAAGCATGATAGTTCGTCAGACTGATTACATTTGCAGTCTCCATCTTAGACTTTTAGTTTTAAGTATAGATATCTTGGCTTTAGTATCTACTCAGGACAGTTTTTGGACCTTTCTGTGTCTTCATTCTGCATCAAGCTATAAATTATGTAACTGTTACAGAAAGCTGTTGGATGCTTTCTGTCCCATGCATTGTCAGAATTTAAACTGTGTATTTTTTTCCCCCATGATAAATCCAATAAAGGCTCTGGTCTACTTATTTAATGTGTTTCTTTAGGTTTGCTTAGCACTACAGGAAATACGTTCATATATTGATCAGAGTGTTGTCATTGGATCAGAGGTAATTTTGTAGTGAGATTGATCTTCTTTGAGAAAATACTCTTTGTAATCCTGTTTATGATCAGTTTGAGTTAAAGGAAGCCCATGAACAATGTTGATAAATTTGACAGTTGTATATCAGATGTTTAAATGGCAGTTTCCTGCAATGTGGTGTATGTTATAGTGAATGAAAACATGAGATGACCAGCAGGCAATGTTAGGCAGACCTTTTAGTAACAGTCATATATTGAAAATCTCTGAACAAGTATTAATGATACCTTTATTTAGACCACTAAAGTTACAAAAACAGACATAGGCTAGCTTTCAAGATCTCTTGGTCAGAGTGAACACTGCTGAGCTGGGCAGGAGGAGGAAGGGAAACAAAGAGAAAATTAACATAAAGTCCCTCAAATCACCTTGTCCAGAAGCTAAAGCTAGGCTTTCTCACATAAAGTGACCTCCAAATTGAATGCTGCGACCTTTTAGAATTAATTTTAGGTATTTGATTTTGTTGGATGCTATGCAGATTTTATTGGCTGAAATCCTGTTGTACAGCTTTATGTACACGGTGGGGATGATTTCATCAGCAGTGGTAAATTGGTGCTGATTAAAGACTTCCTTTGGTATTTTTGGGAACACTCAACTTTATTGCATTGTGTATAAGCTGTGTGCTTCCTGAAATCAGCTTTATTCGGTGGTGATTTGCAAGTTATGATGTCATCTCTGTTGTACAGAGTTGTGCAGCAGGATCTCTCCGATTTCCTTAAGGACATGGCCCTTTTTTGCAACAGAAGCATCCAGAAACATGGCCAGTCTCTGCTGCTGTTTTGTCACAAGAGTTCCTTTCAAATATCTTAACTAGTCTGAGATTAGAAAGACAATGTTACCTGCCTTCAGGACATATACTAAAGCAGGGGTCAGGGAACTTTTTTACCTCCCCCCCCCAAAAAAAAAAATTTATATACGCCGACATTACCCCATTGATTCGAAGGAAGGAAATCATACATTATTTGAATTACAAATATTATTGAATCTACACAGGCTGTGTACCGAACTAGCAGGATGCACCAAATTTGATAAAGATGTGCACTGTTTTTGCTGGAACACATTGCACTCCAGCCATGGGGTGGTATAGGGAGTAGTAAGGTGTCCAACGTTCCTAGAAGTTGCATTAAATTTTTGCTAGCTCGCAGAGGACTTAATCATCATCAGTGGCTGCCAGAGTGGTGCTAGCAATGACATGCTTGCTAGAGACAGCCAACGCAAAATTGGGGGGGGGGTTCCCTACCACTTTAATCATTCTATGTGTGGTGTGCAAAAAGAAACAAACCAGGCTAAAGGTCATGTCACCCACCCTGGTGCCACAGCCCAATATCAAAGGACCAGTGTGCTTTTTTTATCATCATCAATGGAAAATTCAGCAGTGGTCAGAGGATTGGAAAAGATCAGTCTACATCCCAATCTCAAAGAAGGGAAGTGCCAAAGAATGCTCCAACTACCATACAATTGCACTCATTTCACACACTAGCAAGGTTATGCTCAAAGTCCTCCAAGGTAGGCTTCAGCAGTATGTGGACCCGAGAACTCCCAGAAGTACAAGCTGGATTTCGAAGGGCAGAGGAACTAGAGACCAAATTGCTAACATGCGCTGGATTATGGAGAAAGCCAGAGAGTTCCAGAAAAACATCTACTTCTGCTTCATTGACTACGCAAAAGCATGGCAAAAAGTGAGGAGGACTTAAAGCTCTTAATGAGGGTGAAAGAGGAGAGCACAAAAAATGGTCTAAAGCTCAACATAAAAAAAACTAAGATTAGGGCCACTGGTCCGATCACCTCCTGGGAAATAGAAGGGGAAGATATGAAGGCAGTGACAGATTTTACTTTCTTGGGCTCCATGATCATTGCCGAGTGTGACAGCACCCACGAGATTGAAAGCCTGATTCTTGGAAGGAAAACAATGATAAACCTAGACAGCCCCTTAAAAAGCCACCCTTTCCCCCCCACCACCACCTTAATTCAAAGTCTTGCTTGCCTGTTCATTTTCACAGTTTTGAGTCAAGTCTTTCTCACACACACACGCACATCCATCCATCCATCCACCCACCTTCCCTCCATTTCCTCCCTCCATTTTGTACATTTAAATAAGCTTGACAAAGTCCTCCCTCGCTCGCACCTTTCTTCCCTCCTTTCCCTTGCTTGCTCCTTCATCTTCTCTATCCTCCTGCTTGTTTGCAGTCATTTCCGGAGGAAGCAGTCATTCAGAAGCCCTGGATTGATTGATTGCCCAGGCTAATCCCCAGCTGTAACCAATTAGGGAGGCTTATCTCCCAATCTACTGAAAGAACAGAGCATTTAGAAGTGCCCTGCTGCAATGAAGGAAGTAGGCTTACAATTTGAGCTTTGGCTGCAGAGGTTGGGGTGGGAGGGGGGTAGCAGTCTGCTCATTACCCCCAGATTTTCACTTTTACCCAATTTGGGGTAATTTATCCCGTTCCCCGACCTATGTACTAAAGTGTCTCTGTGTGCCTAATAAGCATGGTGCCTGGAACAAAGTAACTGCCAAAATCAAGGTCAATACCATATGGGTCAACTGTGCCACCGCAGCAGAAGTTAGTGGGTTGAATCCAGACTGTCAGATATGTTTTAATTCAATGAACAGATTGAATTGGTCATGATTAACCCATGTCTCAAATGCACATCTGTGTTTGTACTTTGAAAATAATGTTGTGGATTGTTACTAGATTACTTAAAACTTGAGACTGGAGCCTTCAAATGCTTTTAAAGTGCAGTGCTCATAGCATTTTCCATTTTAAGATTCAGCAAATTTAGGCTTTTCTTAGTAGCTATACTTTTGAGAGCCATTGACTGCTCTGGGGGAAGAGGAGGAGTCTTTATCACTTTGAGTATAAAGGTCCTTAGAAGTAGTGATTAAAGTCATTGCTTTGGAATATTTCTGAAACCAGACTTGATAGGGTATCTTAGAATAGGCTATGCAAGGTCAGAGATGACCAGTGAAGTGCGAAAAGTAGGCAAAGACAAGCCTGTCTTAGTTTTAGGGATAAATCAGCATGATAATAGAATGGGATAGAGGATATTCGCCAGATGATATTCTAGTATTTCCAGTAGTTTTGCAAAACATGCAAATATATGGGAAAGCTTTCTAACCCTGGCTTCAGATGGATAGGATGTGCTCTCTGGGATGACTGGGACAAGTACTGTTGTATCTAGTGATCTTTCTATAGTTTAGGAATTCAGCATTCTCAGTAAAGTATCTGTGCTAGGCTGTTTTAGTATGCACAGCAAAAGAAAGTAGCACTATAGAGTAACATTCATTTCTGAACATTTTTATGATTATAATCCCATCTTTTCAGACACATGCAGTATAATAGGTTACATGTGCATAGAGAGTACATGCTGGAGAAAATGGGGTGACAAATACATTGGTAATGAGCTTTTAGAATAACAATGGCCTTTGACCATCAAGCAAATGCTGATTGTATAGACAGGTTGGATTAAGAGAGTAGGCATGCAGTTGGGAGATTGAAAAGGAGCTGGAGAACAGGTAAGGATTTCCTCTGATTCCAAAGGCTGTGGGAAAAGATGGTGGGAGAAATTCAGTGAAGGTAGTATGTGTCTGTTCTCATTTTCTCAAAGTGCCTTTATGTTCAAAATGGATGTGTGCCATTTTGAGAAGTAGGTAGCATGTTACTTGTTAGTTTTGCCAGAATGTGTGCTGATTTTGTGGATTTTATTAAAACAGGAGGGTGAGGAGTAAGCGTTTTAATTATCTGCTTCAGCATAATTTGTTAGTACTGTATTAGATTAGTTTGCTTTCCAGAACAGCTTGAAGCAGTATAAACACCTGTGAAACTAGTTTGACCAGAGCTTGTGGAATACAAGAAATTATTCTGTACCTGTACTGCCTGTAATTCTCAGAAAAAAAACCTGTTGACCATAAAACCGTCTATAACGCCTGAAAGTATAGTAGTTGTTTTGTGGAAGTGAATAAAATCACTTACTGATGGGGATTATTTCTGTTTTAGGGATAAGGCGAATTGGCAGAAGGCCTGATCAGCAGCAGCCTCAGGGCGAAGGCAAGCCTATTGAGAGGAGGCAAGAGAGGCGGCCTCCTCGTGAACGACGATTTGACAAACCTGCTGAAGAAAAGGGTGAAGGAGGAGAATTTTCTGTTGATAAGTAAGAACTGGATATTTTAATACCAATTAGAGGTAAAACTTGTGGGGGTGGGCAGGCTACCTTATTAATAGATGTAATGCAGATATGTTCAGGTAATAAAAATATCATATTTGTCTTGTCCATGTATTTTAATCAAAATGTAGACCAGTGTGATCTGGAAGTGCATGCTTACAAAGACAGTTTTTTAATGTTAGTAAGTTTAAAGTAAAAGCACTGGAATTTTAAAACTGAATATTGTCGGAAACCCTAAAAGACATCATCACTAGTACTATTGTGCTTAAAAAAGTAAATTAGATCTATATAAATAGTTAAAATATTTCCAAAATTATTAAGATAGGATTTTTATCAAGATATGCAAAATACAGTTGCAATTGTAATTCCCAATTTCTCTTGTTACAATAGACCAATTATTGATCGTCCTATGCGTGGCCGCGGTGGCCCAGGTGGGCGAGGTGGCCGTGGTGGCAGAGGTCGTGGCATGGGCAGAGGTGATGGCTTTGACTCCCGAGGCAAACGTGAATTTGATAGGCATAGTGGAAGTGACAGATCGTAAGTCTTAAACTCTGTACTGTTTTCCTTTAAAAACTACTGTTCAATAGAATAATGCTTTGGAAATTTGCCTTTGAATTTCTGTGTCCCAACACTATTTTGTTAACTCAGTTTTGTTAGTTCTCTTTCACATTCACATTTCAGTGGTCTGAAGCCTGAAGATAAGCGTGGTGGAAGTGGATCGCACAACTGGGGAACTGTCAAAGATGAGCTAACGTAAGTATTTGATTTTGAAATACCTTTCAGAATAAATATAAATTATAAGCAAACTATAGGTATTCTAAGATGGAATGTGATGAAAATGCAAAAATATACATGATAGACGTAGAGTTCAATACAGAAGTTGTCACAGGAGATACATAGTAGTTTGTTTTCATGAAGATGTAACGTAATGTGACACCACAGTAAATAGCAATTTTTTTCTTCATGTAGCATTATGATTTCTGGTGTGTTGAATCACAAATGACATTAAAAAGCACCATAATTTTTTATTATCTTTATTGGTAATCTTGGAGAAGATACTAAAAAATTTCTTTATGATTAGGGAGAAGGATTCTGCTGTTAGGGAAGTAAAAGATGCTATACAATTACCTCACATGTAAAAGTATCCCACATGATGTTAATTTGAAGCATTAATCTTTTGGGGGAAATCTTAATTACAGTGACTTGGATCAATCAAATGTGACAGAGGAAACACCTGAGGGGGAGGAGCATCCACCCGCTGATTCAGAGAATAAGTAAGTGTGAAACGTCTAAGATTTGATCACTTATAAAAACAAACTGTTAATAAAGGAGGTGCATGTGAGAAAAGATTGTTTAATAGAAGGCCTTTCTTTCATAAGCAGGAGTCTTATGTATTAATTAAATTTCTTTTCATTATATAGCAGGCAAATTAAAACTGAAATTTTAACTGTAATTAAAGACAGCCAAAATTTCTGAAACAGACTACTGGAACTTTGAATATACCTGAAACTTTCTGAGTATAGCTAAGAAGGTGTGGATTTAAATTGCAAAAGGTGAAGCTTGTAAAATCCAACTTCATTGCTGGATAGAAAATATGTAGAATGTAGAACTCCAGGTATTGTAGAATTGCAGCTATGTCTCTGTCTTACAGTGCAATAAAGTGTACAGAATTGTTTACTGGAGAAGACATGGCAAGTGGACCATGGTACTAGGAGCAAGGCTTTCAGAATCATTGGGCACATGTGCATATCAAAATTAGGCATGGATCCACAGGAACCATGGCTTCTCGTGCCAAGTAAGCATCACTGCAAATGGTTAGCTTCCCTTTTCCATGCAAAACAAACAAGGAGTCTTGGGCTTGTTATATGGCTTGAGATACTGCTCTCTTTTTTTCTTTCTTTTTCTTTCTTTCTTTTTTTTTCTTGAGGGGGACAAACCAGAGAACCATACTTGTGTCTCTTCTTAAATTACACAGTAAATTGACTGCAAAGTGAAGCACAGAGTTTGTTTAGGTGCTACTGCTGTAAGCGGGCACGATTAAAAAGTGTGTGTCACTGCTTTGCTGTAGATGTACAGTGGTGCCTTGCTTAGCGATTGCCTCGTTTAACTATGTATTCGCTTAGCAATGAGGTTTTTGGAGCGATTTTGCGCTCCGTTTAGCGATGTTCCCTATGGGGAAATTTCGCATAGCGATGTTCGGGACCTTGCCTCGCTTAGCGATGACAGTTTTAGGTCCCCTGTTTCGCTTAGCGATGTTCCATTTTCGCTATTTTTAAAGTGTCTTAAAATGTTCAAAAACGGTTTTAAATGCTTGGGATCGTTAGCATACCTTCTAAAACCTTTGCAAACTTAATTTGGCTTTGTTCTGAGTCTTCTGAGGCCAGATGAGCTCCCGGATGGCGTTTTGGCGGCAGCGGGGTGGTTTTGGCTGCGGTGGGGCCCATGCGGCGGCGGGGAAGGCTGGGTGAGGTCCTGGACAGCTCCTGCTGATTGTGCTTTCAAGAGGTGTCCCGGCCTCCCTTCGCTGCCGCATGGGCTCCACCGCTGCCGAGACTGCCGTGAGTGGGAGCCGTCCAGTAGCTCATCCAGCCTTCCACCGCTGCCTGGCCTGGGCTCCACCACCACTGCCCGGCTGGGATGGGTCCGTGCCTCCCGGTCAGACCCCCACCGCCACATCCCTTTCCCTAACTGTTGGGATGAAAGAGCTACAAAGAAGCAGCCTCTTCGCCACCAACAGTTAGTTTTTTTGAATTTCCCACCCCTTTCCCCTGCCTTTTTTGGTTCATAGGTCAAAGCTCCGGCTGCAAGTCAAAGCAAAATTTTGCAGCCGGAGCTTTTTGTAAGTCAATTTGTTTGTACATCAGGGCGTTTGTAAGTCACGGCACCACTATATACTGTAACTTTTTTTCCAGGGTAAGGGGAAGTGGATCGGGATAACAGGGAAATATATCATGCCATTCCTTATCACACATTATCTGTACTACACATATCATTATATTAGGAACTTTTGTATCCGTTAGTTGCTTATATACTTCCAGCTAGAATTACAGTGGTGCCCCGCATAGCGACGATAATCTGTACAGCAAAAATCGTCGCTATACGGATTCGTCGCTATGCGGATTTAAAAAGCCCATAGGAATGCATTGAAACCCCTTCAATGCGTTCCCATGGGCTTAAAACTTAGATTTTAAGCGAAGATCCTCCATACGGCGGCCATTTTTGGCGCCCGGTGGCCATTTTGGAACCACCGATCAGCTGGGGAAAAATATCGTTATGCAAAAGCAATCGCAAAAACATCGTCGCTATGCGGATTCGTCGTTAAACGGGGTGCCCGTTATGCGAGGCACCACTGTATTTGACTATTTTGTATTAAAGTTACCGCATTTGGCTTTCAGGTTATAGAACACATCCAGTTATATATAGGGTCCCATTTTTCAGTTGCTTCTTGGATTGAATTGTCTTTCAATGCTTCTGTTAATATGGCCATCTCCGCCACTTCCATAATCTTTTTCATAAATTCTTTCCAGCTTGGTATTTCAGTTTTCTTCCATTTCCATGCATATAATATTCTGGCTGTAGTTCTCTCTCCTATCCAAATTCTATGGCAACATATTTAATAAAAATAATTATGGTTTAAATTGAAATGTATTAGAATATTACATGGAAGGGGTTGCCACTCTTGAATTGGCCTTCTCAGCCACACTAGATGCTGTTCCAAGACCTCTATTCAGAACACGTTACCATAGTCTCTTGAGACTAAAGGATGCTTACCACATGTTAGAATTTTCTACAGACATTCCTGTATTAGTGTCCAGTATGTTTTTTTTTGCTTCTCTGCATCTCCACAACATATGATATAATGTCCCCTCTTGTAGTTTACATTTCCAACATACATTTGATGTACCTTTATACATTTTTTATAACTTATTTAATGTCATGTACCATATATAAAACATTTTGTATATGTTGTCTTTAAAACTTAACTGATTTTGTTATTTTTATATTAATTTTCCATATTTTTCCAGTCATCAATTTCAATATTGTGCCCTATCTATATTTTGTGCCCATTTGATCATACAATCTTTTACCACTTCATATTCCATCTTAATTTGTAATAAAACTTCATACATGTTGTTAATCAATTTGTCATCTCTTTCTAATAGTATTTTATCCAGGGGTAACTTCTGTAAGTTCTCATAGTTGCTGACTTTCAGCTCTCAGCTGTGCATTACACATAAAGATACTACACCCTAGTATATAGATGATCTGTTTCTCTCAAAGTAGGGATCAGTGTCAGTGTTTGCCAGGACTGTTCTGTGGTGTATGAAAATGTCAGTGGCAACAAGCAAGATACAAAATATGCCTTTTGGATTTGGACTTCCTTTAAAAATGAACCAGTGACTCCCTGGTTGGAAACCCATGGGTGGAAACTCGTTAGAGGGAGATCCAACCTGGAAATAAGGAGGGATGTCCTGATTGTGAGAACCATTAAGCAGTGGAACAGCTTGCCTCCTGATGTTGTGGGTGCCCCATTGCTGGAGGTTTTCAGGAAAATATTGGACGGCCATTTGTCTGGGATGGTATGAGGTCGAGGATGGTACAGTGGTGCTTCGACTTACAACCATAATTCGTTCCAGAAGATGGACATAACTCGAAATGGTCGTAAGTTGAAGCACTATTTCCCTTAGGAATGCATTGAAACCCCATTAATCCGTTCCGGACGAAGAAATTAAAAAAAAAAAAAAGGCACTGCAAGACTCATTAGAAATGCGATTAATCCCTTCCGTCTGAAAGGGGGTACAGTGGTGCTTCGACTTACAACCATAATTCGTTCCAGAAGATGGACATAACTCGAAATGGTCGTAAGTTGAAGCACTATTTCCCTTAGGAATGCATTGAAACCCCATTAATCCGTTCCGGACGAAGAAATTAAAAAAAAAAAAAAGGCACTGCAAGACTCATTAGAAATGCGATTAATCCCTTCCGTCTGAAAGGGGGTGAGAAGCAATCAAGCATGCAAGACCCATTGGAAATGCACAGAGAACAAAGGGGGAGGTCGGAAATGCAAACAAAACAAAGGAAAAAGCAAGGGAAGCATGCAGGACCCATCGGAAATGGGGGGAAACCCCCAAAAGCAACCAAACACCCCAAGACCCATCAGAAATGGGGGGACCCAAAAAACAAACTCCCCAAGACCTATCGGAAATGGGAAAAAACACTCAAATGCTCCACGACGAAATCGCTTCATGATGACGTTATTGTGATCGCAAAACGATGATTGAATCGGGAAAATCCGTTTTATGATGATCAGTTCCCTGCTTCGTGAACCGATTCTTTGCATTACGATGATCAAAAACAGCTGATTGTTGGGTTTTCAAAATGGTCGCCCGCTGTTTTCCAGACCTATTTCCGAAAGACAGCGACTGAAAATGGCTTCCCCTATGGAGGATCTTCGCTGGACGATGAGGTATTTCGCCCATTGGAACGCATTGAACTGGTTTTCAATGCATTTCAATTGGTTTTATTCTTTCGCTTGACAACGGTATTGCTTAACAGCGATTTTAAAGGAACAGATTATCGTCATCAAGCAAGGCACCACTGTATGAGGTCTCCTGCCTTGGGCAGGGAGTTGTATTAGAAGACCACCAAGGTCCCTTCCATCCCTACAACGATTCTGTAATTGGTTGTTGTAGGTTTTCCGGGCTGTTTGGCCGTGTTCTTAAGGTTTTTCTTCCTAATATTTCGCCAGTCTCTGTGGCCGGCATCTTCAGAGGACAAGAGTCAGAAGAAAAGTTAGGAAGAAAAACGTCCAGAACACAGCCAAACAGCCCAGAAAACCTGCAACAACCATCGGATCCCAGCCGTGAAAGCCTTCGAGAATACAGATTCTGTAATTCTTTGGCTGTTGAATCTAAAGTTTTAGCGATACTACAATTGAATAGTTTGTTTTAGAAAAGCCTTAACATTCTGAGTAAGAAGCATTGAACGCTGCATAATCAGTTGCCATTGGTACCGGTGTCTCAGATCCCAGTCAGTTGGAGTGTTGATTGATACCAAGCATGATTTTTTTTCTGTGATTGTAAAGTATTTGGTTTCAGACAATTTTCAGAAGAATACCAGTTTGTTTTACCCTGTTTTCCTGAAAATAAGACAGGGTCTTATATTAATTTTTGCTCCAAAAAACGCAGTAGGGCATATTTTCAAGGGATGTTTTATTTTTGTCATGTACAATCATCTATGTTTATTCAAATGCATTTCATGTCATCTTCTGGTTGTGCAATGGTGGAGGGCAGGGTTTCACTTAACTAGGGCTTATTTTTGGAGTAGGACTTATATTACAAGCATCCTGAAAAATCATACTAGGGCTTATTTTCAGGTTAGGTCTTATTTTAGGGGAAAGAGGGTATTGGTATTAGATGTGAGATCATTAAAAGAGAACCTCATGTTAAGAATGAATTTCTAGTAATTCTAGTAACACCCACATTTAAGTGGCCTTCTTATTTGCTTGTAGTGTTCCTGTGTTTAGACTTCACCATTCTGAATGCATTACTCACTGCAAAATGTGTGAAATGAGTACCCATCACTATAAACTTATTGCAGAGAGAATGAAGTAGAAGAAGTCAAGGAAGAAGGGCCTAAGGAAATGACTCTGGATGAATGGAAAGCTATTCAAAATAAGGATCGTGCAAAAGTTGAATTCAACATCCGGAAACCAAATGAAGGTGCTGACGGACAATGGAAAAAAGGTTTTGTTCTCCATAAGTCAAAGAGCGAGGAGGTAGGATATACTTGGGCATACTGTGAGGGAGTGGGGGTGTCTTATACAATTATGATTTATTTTTAGAGTAAGTAACTTGTATATTTGTATAGGTCCCACTATGTGATTGCTAGTTTGGGTAAGAACGAGTAATGCAGCTAATAATGAGTCCCCAGAAATGAAAAATTGACTCTGGTCCAAACAAAGGTTGTCCATGCTGATATAAATAAAGGAAGCATTCTGGCTTCATTAATTCAGTGGAAGAGGGTATGCATTGCACCTATATTGTCAGTTTCAATGTCAGTGTTCATTAAAATCTGTAGAAATAGGATGTGATATGGTTATTTCCTGGATTGTACAATTTTTAGGTAGGTTATTCACAAATGCAGTGTCAAGTAGAATTTCCATTTACCTCATGTAGTCATCTGAACAGTACCAGATTCTTACAGAAGTTTTCAGAGTAAATAATGTTGGGACTAGGTCACTGATGCATGGCATTGGATTTAAATCAGTATTCTCTCTTTGAAGCACATTTTTGTACTGATAAAATATTTCCCAGATCAAATAATAAAGGAAATATGATACAAATAATAAAGGAAACATAGTACCGGGGGGGTTACTATGTTTTTTCACTTATGTTGGCTGTATTTTTAGTTGGTTTGCCTTTCTTGCCTCTTTAACATTTAATAGTGTTTTTCTGGAGGTAAATACCTTGTGCAGTAGCCAATGGAGTTGGTCTACTGTTGGATTGATAGTATGTGGTAGAACTGTGGGGAACAATCTCCCTAATATACTGCAGTCTACAGTGTACCTCCCAAATCTGGTCTGAAGGGTGTGAAAGCCTCAAAAGCCAGTTTCTAACCAACACTAAGGAGGGGAGGGATGGCTGTTCAGTTATAATTGTCAGCAAGCTGTTTGCTCTTGAAAATATGACTGGTCACCATTTAAATAGTTTTGTTTTGGTTTTCCTTTCCTCCTGGCACCACATTTAGTTGCATACAATGTAATCTCAATTAAGTCCTGATATTCAGCAGATCTTATTACTGGGGAAATGTGCTTCAGATGGTGATCTGAATATGTATTGAAATTCTGTATCGCCAAATGCTGAAACTATTAAAAAGTTAAGATTTTATTCCAGTATTCCCCATTTCTGTTTTTATTCATGAAATTAATCTTTTCTCAACATTAATGTTAACTCTGCCAAAATAAATGTTAGCCTGCAAACCCTGGCTATAGTTGCACAACATCCTCTCATGTGCTGCCGTTGACTTCATACTTGCTCTGTCCATTTGTTTAGTGACTTGTGTCCTGCCAGTCCACCTACCTAATCATAGAACTTGTTATTTCTGTATGTAGAGTCTCATTTTCTTCCTTTTGTTTTTATCCCTTGCGTGTGGACAACTTGACTCAGACAAAGGGGATGACAGAGATGCAAGGGAGTCAGCTGGAATCCAATGAGGTACTGACCCTTTATATGTGTTTAGTGAATGAGGAGAAACAGACTTTTAAATAAGCCCACATGAAATGGGCACATCTCTCCAGAAAAAGAATTCACTCATGAATTCTTTCTGATTAATATGGCTGTCCCCCATGCAAACAATTCTTGTCCCTTATTTCTTGTGCCTGTTTGTCAATTTTTACCTTGTCTTACTGTTAGTAATACATTGTATGTAGCACTCGGTTTAAAAAAAAACACATTTCCACACTGTTTTCAAGCACACATTTCTGCTTGGATGACTGCCTTGGTACATACACTTGAATAGTGAATAATCACTGTAGTCTTCTAAAATTATTATTTCTGATCAGGTGCATGTGGATCTGTTTTAGTTGTCATCCTGTTAGTCATGTGTAATTATTGGTGATAAGTATCTTACATGTCTGTTAAGGCAAATACTGTGAAGTAATGTGGTAATTCCCTGTTTGCAGCATATAAATAGAATTGAGGGAGATTTTCAGGCTTTAAGAATCATGGGGCTTAAATAAATTTAAAGATGTTTATATAAACCAATCTTGCAGAAGGAACTCAAAAGGTCATTGAATGCTAACTTTGTGGGAAGGGAGTGTGGCATGTGGATTTAGAGGGTTTTTTTGTAATGGATCTGTTATTTCAGTTGTAGTTGTGTTGTATCTCTTTTATTATTAAGTTAGGGTAAATATTTAATGTTGCGTATTCCACTTGTTTTGAATACAAGCATCCTATTTTACTGTATCGAAACGAACATATGTGTGTTTGGAGTATGCTGATTTGAAACAAAACTGGAAATATGCAATAATGGGAATGCTAATTTTACAGACTCATTGACTGAAATCCAGTAGTGTAACTAATGCCCTGTGTGGCTGATGATATAATCAGCTTTAGGTAGGACAACTTTTTTCAACAAGATTTCATAATTCTAGAGCTGCAAAAGAATCCCAAAGGTCATCAAGCCCAACTCCCTATAGAAGCCAAAATCTACCATTAAAGCAGCTATGCAGCCTTTGCTTAAAAACCTGCAATGGAAGAGAATCTGCCACCTCACACTTCTGTGAGATAGTGCTGGAAAATGAACAGTTGGAACTGGGGTCCAGTGGTGATAAAACAGTTTGAGGGAGGCTTCTAGCAAAACCTTTTCAGTCTTTGTGCTCTTCAGATATGAGTGTGGGGTGGTACATCTTCCACCAGTCCCTTCCAGCGTGGCTGTTGATCAGTAAATAAGGGTGGTCTAGTCCAGAGGCCCCCAACCCCCGGTGTCTGTCCATGGCTTGAGCAGGACCGGGCCACGGAGAGAGACCTCACCCCCACACGCACCCCCCTGCATAGCCCGTTTGTGTCTGCATACGAATGTGCCCGCACGAGTGCTGCACCATTCTTTGTGCATGCGCACGAGCCTGCACAAGTGCTGCACTGCCCTTTGTGCATGCACACAAACGCAGGGGAGGTGCCCCGCCTTCCCCAGCAGGTCTGCGGAGCTAAAAAGGTTGGGGACTACTGGTGTAGTCCATAGGCTAGTAACTCTTCAAAGCAACAGTCAAAAAATGTGAGAGCAGGAACAGAAATGAGGTTCACACCCAACTTATAAACAGAAGCTGACTGAGTGTGAGTCTGGCAGGTGGAGCAGACAGAAGTTTCAGGAAGAATGCCTTCTTGTTCATTATCTTTAAAAGGTGACATTTTCCTACCTAACTTTGGAAGTCCATCAATACCGTCTGTAATTCTGTGCATGACATATGCCCAGCTCTTAAAAATTGTCTGGAGAGTAATTTTTTAAAATATTGTCTCATGTTGCCATCAACTGTATGAATGCCAAGGGAGCATTTTTCCTTCTGCTAAAATCTAACGTTGGTGAGAGAATGAAGTAGTTACTCCCAGGTTCCATTCTAACATCATTGACTTTTCAGTTCTTGAATACAGTGGTGCTTCAACTTACGGCCTTAATCTGTTCCAGAATGATGGGAGTAACTGGAAATGGTCATAAGTCGAAGCACCATTTCCCTTAGGAATGCATTGGAACGCCATTAATCCATTCCAGCTGAAAAACAAACAAACAAATAAATACCACTGCAAGCCGCATCGGGGCTGGAAAAAAAATATCACCAAAAACTTAAAACAAAACAAAAAACACTGCAAGCCCCATCAGAACGTGTTGGGGCTGGGGGAAAAAAATCACCAAAACCCAAAACAACAAGAACACTGCAAGCCCCATCAGAAGGCACTAGAGCTGAAAAACAAACACATCAAAAACAAAAACAAAAAAAACCCAAGCCCCCAAAATGCCGCCCTCCAAAAAAATGCAAGCCCCATCGGGACACGCTGGGGCTGGGGGGAAAAATCACAGCAAGCCCCACCGGAAGGTGCTGGGGCCAAACAAATAAACACACCATACACTAAACACCAAAAAACATCACAGCATGGAAACAGCCCCCCAGCCCAAACCCACCCTTCAAAACCCTGTAAATGTACTTACTCAGTAACAGAAAGCAGCACCAAGTAGTCCGAATCCTCCGACGCACACACTAACCATTGGGGTGAAAGAGCTACAAAGATGCAGCCTGTTCGCTGACCAACCGTTAGTACATTTGAATTCCCCTCCTTTTTCCTCACCTTTTTTTCTGTTGTAACTTGAAGCTCTGGTCACAAGTAGAAACAAAATTTTGCGGCCGGAGCTGGTCGTAAAATGGTCATAAGTTGGGATGGTTGTAAGTCGAAGCACCACTGTATATCCTAGCTGTGTTTAAAAAGCAATGTGAATATGTAATTGAATGAAAGTAAAGCATTGCATATCTTTATAGTAGTCTTTATTTTCAAATATGTACCTTAGTTACATTCAGTTTAAATTATTGTAATGTACTCTGTGTGGGACTGCCTTTAAAAAGTATTTGGAAACTTCAGTAGGTCTCTAGGGTGTTGCAGCTAGACTCCTGACTGAAGCTATTTGCAGATAGAATTAAAAATTCCTTGTTAATAGCTTTGCTGGCTGCCAGTTTGTTTCTAGGCACAACTCAAATTCTAGATATCTTGGGTCTGAGAGAGATCTCCCAATATGATACTCCCCACTTTTTGAGATATTTTTTAAAAAAAGCTCTTAGGGTGAGGCTTTAATTTCATACCTGCCACCCTTACATGCATGCTTGGTGGGCAGATGAGAGAGCCCCTTTTTTTGGCAGCTCTTCCCAGGCTATGGCACTTCCATCCATAGCAGATAAGGCTGGTCCCTTCCTTGGTGGCCATCCATCAGCAGGCAAGGGCCTTTCTCTTGAGGCAGTCTTTTACTAAGTAATTTAGCACTAAGGGTGTTACTTTTACTAAGTAACTTAGTAAAAGGAGTTTTTAAAGGGGAGTTGTATTTAAAATTTAAAATACACTTTACAATTGTTCAATTAGTTTTTATTCACTTCAGTGGTGCCTCGCATAGCGACGTTAATCCGTGCAGCAAAAATCACTGCTAAGTGATTTCGTCGCTATGCAATTTTAAAAAGCCCATAGAAATGCATTAAAACCTGTTTAAAGCGTTCCTATGGGCAAAAAACTGACCTTAAAGCGAAGAGCCTCCATATGGTGGCCATTTTCGCTGCCTCTTAAGCGAGGAATCCATCCCTAAACACAGCAAGCGGCCATTTTTTTTAACCCGGTGGCCATTCTGGAACCGCCGATCTGCTGTTAAAAATCATCGCTTTGCAATGATCGGTAAGCAAAACAGGGAACCGATCATCGCAAAGCGAAAAAAAACCCATTTAAAACATCGCTTTTGCAGTCGCAAAATCTTCGTCGCTATGTGTTTTCATCGCTAAACGGAGCGCCCGTTAAGCGAGGCACCACTAGTTTGTTTTGTAATGACCATAATGCTGATTGTGTAAGGGAAATCCTACACATTTAGGTTCTTGTTTTTGGAGAATGAGCAAGTGTAAAATACATTCTCTTCAGTGTTCATTGAAAAGAGTAGCCTAATAATTATCATTGCATTGTTATTAGTGGCAACAGTTCAATATTTTCTCTTACCCCAGAGGTAGTTAAAGGTAAAAAGCTTTGGGTGCTGAGCAATGTTCCCTTTAACTTTAAGCCCTGCACTCAGCCTCGCGCTGGGTTCCACCACGACCTGAACCATAGCAGCTGGAAACACTTTCTGTGGGTGTGCAGAGGAGGAGGAATGCTGCATGGTGTCGTGCATGCTTGCACAGCTTAGAGGGAGGTAACCTTGTAGCTGAATTTTATTTTTCTTTGGCTTTGTGCTTAAGCGGCATTTAAAAAGCTGGCACGACTTAATGATGGTCGGCTGCCATTCCCGGCAAGTAATGGTGATTGTGTACTGTAATGCTTTTCTGTTGTTCTCTTAGGTTCGTTGGCTGCTTAGTGAAAATAACCTCGTGGATAAGTGATACTTGATATTGAATTGCTTGTCCTTTTATTGTAGTCTCACGCTGAAGACTCTGTAATGGATCATCATTTCCGCAAGCCGGCAAATGATATCACATCCCAGTTGGAGATCAATTTTGGAGATCTTGGTCGTCCTGGACGTGGTGGGAGAGGTGGAAGAGGTGGCCGTGGCCGTGGGGGAAGGGCTAATCGTGGAAGCAGAACTGACAAGGTAATACTTGATTCTATTTGCATTCAGTATATTTCAGTATGCTGACTGTTTGAAGCAAAAAGTAAATATTAAGGTATGTTCAGAAATCCAGCTGCTTGCCAACAGTGGCACAGAATGATGCACAGTATGTCATCTTTAGTTTTTAGCTCTGCCTTAACTTTGCTTCTGCAGTTGTGCCATAATTTTAAATGCCCTTCCTACAAAATGAAGAAGCTAATCTGCAGAAGATTTGCCTAATAATCATGGTTCGTCTTTGTGGCCTCTGTGAATCACACCCTGGGTGATCCACGCCTGCACGGAGCCTCATCGGAAAGTCCTAAAGCTTCTGTGGTAGCAAAAACCACATTAAAATAAGGCCCCTCCCACCTTGTATAACTACCTTGATGCCAAGGCTCCCCTTTCAGTTTCCTTTCAACCACCACGTTGAGGGCCTCATAGTTCTGCTTCTGTGAGTAAAAGAGAGTTTATTCTTGATTCCTTCCTATTATCAATCTTTTTTCCTTTAAACTTTTAGATCAAATTCATTATCATCAGAGATTTTTTATATTCTACTTTGCTTGGCCTCCAGCCGCAGCCCCTCCCCCCCCCCCGCAATCCTCATTTTTTCTCCTCAAATTATTTTCTCCTATTCATGGCCCCTTTGCACCTGTTTAAACACTGCATGGTCTGTGATAACAAAATGCTACTCTCCAATGGCCACGCCAAGTGTCTTTTTTGTTTGGGAAAGGCACACCAGACGTCCTCCTAGCATTGTAAAAACTTCAAGCGTGGAGTCCTCCATTCTTGCTTATCCAGATTAAAACTCCGTCTTTGGGAACAATCCCTTCAACCAACCAAATAGCCCAACCTCCTTTTAAAGCAATGGAAAAGGCTCTTTCTGAATCCTCAAAACAACGTCCATCGACCACACCATCTCACTCCAATGCTCCATCCACTTCATCTAAAATTTCAAAAACCCATAAATCAAAGCGCTTGATACCGAAATCCTCGATATCGAAGCCCTCCACTAAATGTCAAATGTCCACCGCAGCCTCTTTGGTTCCAGAGCCCTCTCCGCCTAAAAGACCTAAACAGTACAGTATAAATCTAAAGCTGCAGTCATTTCTCAGCAGCCTCAACAAACCGCCGAATCAATCTCTATTGGTTCGCCTTCTGACGATGATGGAATCCTCTCTCATCAAGCCTGCTCCCAATCACCGGAATGGGATGACAGAGTTGATTGATTAACATCTTCTCCTCCCAGTCCTCAACACTGTTCTTTCGATCAACCCTTCCGTAGTTGCTTCACCTGACAGGGTCGACTCTGAACAGCAACAAGAAACCATACCTTATTTGGTAACATCTGATTGTCCACCACGACTGTCTCAGAGACATTGGACCCAACAGTCCCTGGAGCCGTTCAGCACTCTCACCAGGTTGCCATTTGCCCCGACCAGTGCTTGACTGGACAAATCACAACTGCCAATCAGCCAGTTGCTCTATCCAGCTCAACCATACCTTCTCATGGTGGGCCTCGGATCTCAACAGCCATTAGTGTCGAAACGGCCATATCACCATGACCCACATCAACTCCAACCTGCTCCCCACCTGGCTCCTAAAAGACCCAGGAGGGTTAAGCAGTTTTCTTCTACACACGAGGCTTTTACAGCTCCAGCCTCCCAATATTTTCCCGCTAATCAAGACAAGGGAAATCATTCCTCTCGCTCGGCATGTCCAGTGTATATATACTCCACTGCTTTACCAGCTCATGAACAACCTCCATTTCGACATCACCAAGACACAGGCTCTGATATCAATGATCCTCAATATTCATCCTGGTCCATGGACACTCATTCTGTCTCTCTATCGATGCACGATTTCCGTCGCCAGATAGAACCAAGCCATCGAACTTGACATCACTGTGACCCCGAGTTCAACACTGACATTCAGCCATATCCAACGACATCCATGGACACTCGGATGACATCTCCCAATATTGAAAATCCTCGACACCGACAAATGCCCATGGACATGTCGCTTCCATTGACATCGAGCCACACACGTCAATACTATGACACTCAACCTATCGACACTGAAGTTGATTGACAATCTGTCGACTCCCAATGCGATCCCAATTATTCTGATCACAGATCTAGACCTCAGATGCCGTCAGTATTACTGTGGAGTTTCCAGTTCATGACAGTAGTTTCTTTTGTTTTAGGTGTGCCACTCAGAGTAGAGCTTTCAAATACATTCCAGTCAGTGCTACATCGCGAGCAGATCTGTCTTCATTGTTCTGGGTGTCCAGGTTCCAAAGGGGAGATTCTACTGACGTGTTGCTTTCTATCGTTAGAGCTTTTGCTGCAGTGCTGCCCCGAAGGTGGTTCAGAAGGATAGAAAGACCTATAAGCTACAATTTTAACATCATAAAATGGATACAGGAAGTGTTGGATTGGGGGTCAAGCACCACTGCAGTATTAGTCTTGCACTATTGTACTTAAGGGGGAGTGTGGTACTTTGTTTTTGAGGCTTCTGACATTAAGGATTCTCACCATTAAAATACTTGTTGAAAGCACTTATTTTCAGAATGATTTTTTGTGTGTGTGATCTTACTACAAATTTACTGATGCATACTAATACTTTTATTTGACCATGTTTCTTTCTAGTTGGTGAAGGAGTTTGATGTGATCCATGCACCCAACCAGGTGGGTGCTATGATTTTATTCCCTTTGAGTAAGGCTAGAGCTACAGACATTCCTAAATCGTCTCTTCCCTCCCTCTTTTTGGTATATAGAGATAAATATATATAGGAGCTGGTGCCCTTGTGTCTAAGGTGTGGTTACACATCTTTCAGTAGAAAAAGTTGATACAGTAATGGCAGGTATCCGTTGTATGAAAAAATCTCTCTTCATGGACTACACTGTGTGATGGCATCTGTTCGTAGGATTTCTGACATGCTATATGTCCTAAAATTAATATGGAACCTATGTAGAGCTTTATATTCCAATCAGTATTGGTGATTTTATGTATGTTTTTAATTGTCCACCCAAAGCACAAGTAGAGGAAAGCCAATTTTTTATTCTTCTTGACTTGTTTCTAGCTTATATCTTTTTGTGTTTCTGTCAGCCTTGCTGACATTTGGAAGCCCCATCAGGTATTACATTTTTACAGTCTAATTCTGCAGAATTAATCAGAGTGAAACAGGATATAACTCCTGATTTGAAATTTATTTTAAAAAAAAACACCCTGAATGTTGCCAAAGTACTTCCCTTTACTCCAAATCTGTGTTTACTTTTTCTTGCCTTCTAGGCATTTGAGGCGAGGCTGCAGCTGTTTCTTCAAACTAGAGCAACATGTATTACAAACCATTTTTGCATGTAGTTAAGCCTAGAAAGTTCAGATTCAAGTATCTAGATGGTAGATACGTTGGGAACTTCATGCTACTTTGAATTTACAGAAGAAAGAATAGAATATGAATATAAGATAAAGAACATCTGAAGTTAAATTATCTTGTTCTTCCATATTTATAAAAACCAACATTAACTAGATTTGGAGTCTCCCATTCACCCCCCTGAGTTTTTTATACTTAACATAGGCTTGTTCGCATATTGTTGTTAGTGCTTCTGAGTTACACTTGCATTGCTAGCCTTATTTTATATGTAATAATATTTTTTAAAAAGGCATGTCACAAACAGTTTAGAATTTAATTTTTATATACTGGTTATGACACAAATCATCATGCAGTGCCCAGTTGGCATTTCCAGGGGTAGCTTGCAAAATAAAAAAGTACAGAACAAAAGTAAGGTAAGAGTGCATGTTAAAATATCAGTTTAAATATTAAAAATTCACTTTTATTTAAGAATTGGGTATTCACCTATTGTGAGAGCAGTAAGTAAGCCATGATAAGTCAAATTAAAGGCCCCTGTTAGTCATTCTTTTTGCAATGTGGCCAGATGTCTGTGTGGAGAACACAGACAGAGCATGAAAATAGTAGCAACCTTCTGCTTGTGACTAGCAACTGGTACTGGTCACAGCCAGAGATGTGAGGCCTGGAAGGCAACACCACTGAATGTGCACAATATTGTACAGTGCACATTTTTGTATCAGCAAAGCATGTCAGTGTTTTACTTGTTGAACTAGAGGTGTAGTTGATACTCTTACTGTGGAAGGAACACTCATGCATGAGGAATGTAGTAGCAGGATTCTCATTTGTAACTTTCTGAATACAGGGCAGAGACATACATAGAGTTAAACTAAGTTTGTTAGAAGTTTCCTTCAGCTATAGTCTTTTTGCTCATTCACTGGATATAAACATTCCACACATTTATATGAAATGCCAACGAGTGAAAAGTGATGCATCTCTGTATATAATATGTTTCCTGTTTTACTTTCAGTCAAGTGCTTCTGCTCCTGATGTTGATGATCCAGAAGCTTTCCCAGCTCTGTCCTAAACTGGATGCCCTAAGCCAACCCAGCCCTTTGTTGGGCTCTCCTCTTCAAGGCTTGCATGCTTAAGGATCCTAAAAAACAACTTAAGAAATTTAAAAGGGGACTCATTCATACCATTCACACCTGAAGACTGAATTTTATCTGTTTTGAAAATGAACTTCTCTTGCTACACAGAAGCAACAATATGGTAGTCAGTTTTGTATTTAGAAATGTAATGGTAGCAGGGATGTTTTCATAATTTTTTTTCGGAAATTATGCATTCTTCATGGATACTTTTTTGTATTGCTGCTTGAAAATATGCGTTTCCAAACTTGAAATATAGGTGTGAACAGTGTGTACCAGTTAAAAGTTTTCACTTCATTTGTTTTTTTTAAGTTAGACTTATAGATGTGTTTTCCTTGAACTACAATTTTAATTCTCGCACACTATCTTCCTTTTAAAACTGCTTAGCAGATTGTTTTCAGTCCATGGTCAGCTGGGATATGTACAGAAAATAGTTTGGAAATTATTAGTACTGTGTGGAATACTAATTTCTGGATTATTTGAGTTTTTAATACTTAAATTTGAACTTGGAAAAGTCCATTTTCTTCTATCTTTGGTAATCTCTGTATTCAAAATCTTTATACAAAATTGATATCAGATACTTGAAAAATAGTCAAAGCACATTGGTTTATATTCTCCATACCTGCTTATGAATCTAGAAGCTCTGTTTGGATAATTGGTCGAAGCCATTTTTTAAACAAAGTTACACCTCCCATATTCACCCTTTTAATCTTATTCCCTTCTTTTTTCTTCAACAAAAACTAATTGTCTGTTTGGTAAACTTCTTTTAAAGTTGTTAATATTGTTGCTACCAAAAATACCTTGTAGACTGGAGCAGTCTTTTTTTCAAGACATGAGAGGTTGGGAAGGGAGTGGCATCTATTTCTTAATACAGTTGTTTGAAAGTACATTGATATTTGTCTGGCAGTGCAGTATATCTACGTACAAAAGCACCAGCACTGGATGCATTGAAATGCTGTTCCATTAGCTGGAACTGTGATCCTAAAGAAGAAACCAAAGGGCACTGTGTACTGCTTGGGAGGAGTATTATTTGACTTGTGTAAGTTGGAGGACAAAAGAGCATCAAAATGGGACAACTGTGCTCTCCGTGGGACATAAACCAGAACCTCAACACCTAAATGAAATGTTGTGGATTTTGCTCTGTTGCTTCAACTTCTGGTCTCTACTAACTGACAAGTGAATGTTTTATTTGCAGAGGGTGATTGTAAGAAGTTCTCCTTCCCACTGTAGACATTTCTTAAAGTTTAGCTTAATCCCTGTGAACAAGAATGTTACCACTTTCAAAACACAAGGACTTGAGAAGAGCAAATAATAATAAAAAAGACTACTTAGGCTTTTTGTCTCCCAACATTTGTTAGGAGGCTAGTGTAGGAATATCCATTTATTTAAGGTATTAAAGCTTGGAACATTTGTGGATTTTCTTAATGAGGTGGATGGATGATAATGATGCCCCTATTTTTAGAAACAGGACAGGCAAAATTATTGGAAAAGTGAATAGTAAATTCCTTACTTGCAGTGTTCTACTGGCTTGCATTATCAGAAATATTTCTATCACCATTTGTTTACACGTGTAAAGATTACTGTATTAGAATGGACTCACAATACATTCAACTTTGCAACATTGTAGTCAGGAAGACGGGAAGATTTTTGCAGCATTGTAGTCTGGAAGAGAGATTTTTTTTAGGTGTTAATGGTTTTGCCCGAAGGGATATTTTTAAGATGGTGGACCCTTTTTTCAAAGTTTTGGGTGCTTCCTGTTGAGCACTCCTGTTTTGGAGGTAATTGATTTCCTTGGGTCAACATGTGCATATGTTTTCAGTAGAGTTTTTCCCCCCACCATCCATATTTCATAGCACAGAATGTCTGAAGACATTGGATGTTTGTTGTATCCTTAAAAACATTTTATCATGTTACCGCTGTAAAAGTATTCTGGTCCACAAAGACATCCATCCTGAATATGTCTTTGCTGTTCTTTCCATTCTCTTTTCTTACTGTTACCTTTTTAGGCTAGCGATGGTCTTTTATACCTGAAACCACAATCCATTTGCCCACATTATTCCTGAAAGCCATGTCAGATTGATCCTTGACACATCTTTCCCTCATCTTACAACATATTTCTAAGACAGTTTTAGGAAAGCCTTTTAGAGATGGCCCATTTTCTGTTCTTTTGTGTACTTAATTTGTGTCAAGCTGTGAAAAGATATTCTTTAGTATTGGTGCGCATTAACAAAATAAAGGTTTATTTTCATGCTCTTTTATAAAAATGTCATGAAAATTGGCATTATGAATGCCTCTAATGCCAGGCATCTTGCCAGCTTTCTGGGTTACAGATCCCTAAATACTGTTCCTGCTATAGTCTCATTCTTAGTCTATTCTCAGTGGTGGGCATAGCTTTGGCAAAATACATACTGGTAAAGTTAATTATAGTATGAGCTATTAAATGAATTTGACTTTCTATCTCATATTCTTTTGCTTGCTTATCCTGTTGCTACACCATTGCATCTAGGAGTGACTTCTCTTAAAAAGGGCCAGTGTTGAATATAAATTGGTTGACTTATTTTAATGTTTGAGCATGGAAGTTCATCTTGTATTAACTGATCTGACTGGCAGAAAAGTTAACGAAATGAGTGAAGGAAAACAGCACAAGGCCTACCGAGGTAAATCTAAGGAACAAAATTATGTTTATTGTGAATATACATCGTTCTGTTGAACGGGTATTGCATCTGATGGTTAAGTATTGCCCTATGAGATTCACTTTCATACCATACCTGTTGACTTAATAAAAACAGGACTGATGTTTCTGGCTGTCTTGAGTGCTCAGAGTATAGCTGTGTGTTTGCATTCAGATGAATAATATTAATTTGGGCACTAACTGAAATAACTTAGGCGGTATCTCTTACAAGAGAGGACTGTAGGTGTTGGTTACATCTTTTGTTTCAGTGACGGTACCTTGCTGGAAAATGCACAGATCATATGTGGCCTTTCTTATTGTTTTCACCAACAGATGGGGCAAAATGTATATATTATGTACAGGTGATTTGATGCTGACTAAAGTGAGAGGTTGGTTCCTCTCTTGTTCCCCATGTTCTAACCACTTTCCCTTAGTGCAGCTGAAATGAAACTTTTAAACATTGTTAATGAGTATATAAGTGTTGTCACTCATAAAGGGAATGGGGCATTAATAATTCCAAGAGGGAGGTATTGGTCTTCATCACTTACTATNAAAAATTGCCCCCCCCCCCCCCCCCCGGTCTGTAACTTCAGGTGCATTAGGTTGGCCCGTGCTCAAGTTTTTACTTTGCAGTTGGATTTGTAAGCACTCCAGTCTAAACAAGCAAGTCTTGTAATTTCTTGTAAACAATATGGGGGGGGGGTTAAGATAAAAAGAGGAGGAAGGGAAGAAGTAAAGACTATAGCTTAATGTTTGAGTTGTTCCATCAGCAGGAACACCTCCCTGAAAAGCACAATTAAAAAACAGGCTTCCAGTTGTCAGGGAATTGTTAAATGTGCAATATGATTTGTTGAGTTGAAAAAAATGAATAAAGAAAAAAGATAATTCCGAAAAGCTCCCCCCCCCCAAAAAAAACTATTGAAATTTTAAAAAAATGAAAAGTAGAATTAAGATACAGCAGTAGAACCTACTTGTTGGATTCTCCACTCTATGGAAAATATTCTGTGTGTTTTTGGTGAGCAGAAGGAAACATGCATAGGCTTGGGAGATAGCTTTTTCTATTCCTCTGTTTCAGGAGTTTGTCGTGATCTTACAACTGTTTTCTGAAGTCCTCATGTTGAGCACCTGTAAATGAACTGCAAACACAGATTTAGTTGTTAGTGGTCAGATTGTTATATGTGGCATATTTGGGCTTATATCTAAGCCTTCTTTGGAGTTGTATATCCTAGGGGATAATGTTCCATATTTTGAGGGAAAGTACAGTGGTGCCTCACAAGATGAATTTAATTCGTTCTGCGGTTAATGTCTTGCGAAAAATTCATCTTGCGAAACACGTTTTCCCATAGGAATGCATTGAAATCTAATTAATGTGTTCCTATGGGCAAAAAAAGTCACAACAAAGTCAAATTTGGTTTACAAAGGGGTTATTAAGTGCTCTTTAAAGCCATACATATTGTGCAGATGATTTAAAAAAATGCAATCAAAAAACTTTTAACTTTTAAAACATCATAGAAGAACATTTAAAAATCAGCAAACATGAGGTAGGAATAAAAATGGAAAACATTCGTCTTGCGAAGCGCGGCCATAGGAACATTCGTCTTGTGAGTCATCAACCCTATTGCCAAAACCATTCGTCTTGCGAGATTGTCGTCCTGCAAGGCACCACTGTATAAGGATAAATGAAGGACTAAGTGCAGATGTAGTCTGCATTTTGGGATTTTCAATCTTAAGAATCTCCACAAGTCCCTAACTGTTTTCCTGGGGTGCTTGCATTGTAGCTTTGATTTGTGTCATTTTGAAGTGTCAGGTTTAGATAGTTATAAACTGATCTTTCATTTCCAAGCTTGAGGATTAGCCCCATTGAAATCCTGCTGAGTAAATATGGATAGAATTTGAACTACGTTGGTTTGGTTGGCAATATTCAGAATGTGTTCTGTGCACAGGTCTGGTGTTTAGGTATCCAGTTTCTGTTCTCTGTTAAGTTGTAGGTGAATCAAAACTGTCCCTCAAACTGTCCTGAATTCAGCAACTGCATTGGGACTCTTAACAAATTCTTTCCCTCCTCTGGTGTTCCTTGTTTCAAATATAGGACTGTCAAACTGCCTTTCAGTGAAGGCAGCTTTCTGAGTATTTTAAGAGGTTGAGCAGGCTGCAAAGTCTCATGCACAGGAAGTAACAACTTCTGAGTAGTCTGTATCTAGAATTCCCTGGAAAAGGTCACTACAAGTTGGAATTGACATAAATGGCACATTATTACTATTATTAGAAATATTAATGTTTGGCAAGTTGGACATGGATTTGTTCCTCTGTGTGCTGGCTGTGCTGAGTTTTCACCTGTAGTGCATCAGTGTACCTGACTGGTTGTGAACCATGACCCATTATTTTGGCTCCAGAAAATGGAGGAATTTACTTTGGCATAGAAAAATAATAGGAAATGAGCACACCTACAGGCAACTATATCCCATTTTTGCTCAAAAGGCTTGCTCTCACTTTTTGGTTCTATACACTCTTTTCCCCTTTTGCCAAGTTTTATTTGCAGTTGCTGGTAAAAAAAAAAAAACTGGGTAGCTTGAGGCTGCTGCCAGGAAATTATCACCAAATCAAATGATTGATCAACAGGATGGAAAGCTTAATTACAAATTGTAATTTTAAAAACATGGGAGAGATGAGATACCCAATTTGAATTTGAAAATTTCTTATGCCAGCAGGAAGAATAATCTCTTCAGAGCAACCATTCAGAATTCTTCAGAGCCCCCTGCCCCAACATCCTGGCAGGCTTCCTGTATGTCTTCCTAAGTTGTTTTTTTTTTTTAAAGGCCTTCGTTTAATTGCCTTTGTAGGGGGAAGAAGGCACAGACAATTGGGGAAGTCCTTGTTGCATGAACAGAGTTCATCTTGCTCCATTTAGAAGAATCTTTCATAAATAATTGCCTGTTTAACTCCATAGTTAAATTTTCACTTAACAGGGTAAGACACATATCACACAAGCTGCTTTTGTAATTACATGTTGGTACCTTTTGATATAAAGGCCATTGTTTTTGGAAGTTGAAGTGGCGATTAACCCTGTCATGACTTAGCTGGCCAAATTCAGTCTTTATGAGGAATGACCCACTGAGCTGCATTTATCTGCTTGTCTTACATTGATAATCCTCCTACCCAGGCCACAGTGACCTGCATTGGAGCAGAATATTTTTGTTTAAACAGATCCCTGTCTTGGTTGATCAGCATTACTGAGATAATTTCTGGGACTGTCCATGTGGACAGCAACTGATCTGGAATGGATAAGAGTTCCAAGAAATTACAATCGAGTTAGTAGAAGACTAGGGGCCTTGTTGGATCTATGGTCAGTAGGTGTGTTCTGTTATGATCTGTTTCCCGTTTCAATGGAATATCTCACTACATTTGGAACCTTCCAAACACTTCAGACTTGCCTTTCCCTTGAATTTTACAATGGATTCTGCAGGTGAGTTGCATGTTCCATACCTTTTGCAAATTACTGCTATAAGAAGCTAAAACTTAAGCATACTAACAATACTTTGAAGTCATTTATTTTCTACTATATTTCTCTAATAGATTGCTCCATTTGCTTCTTCAAAATTAATCTTTTTTTAAAAAAATGTATCTTGTCAGTTAAATTTCTGTCAAAATGTGGAATACTGTATCAATATCTGTCCCAGTATTTCATTTCCACCAAATAGTTTTGTAAAAAAAGCCAAATAGTTAAATTTTCTCACATTCTGAAAACAAATTAGTATTCAAAATTATTATTATAGTTACAGATCCTTGCAGTTGAGGTCTAAGCAAGTATAAATATGGGACAAAACCTATTAGAAGAATATTTTTGCTAACAGATGGGAAGCCTTCATTGTGGAAGGAATCAAATTTTTAAGGGCCTGGTCTGGATAGAGAAGCCCATCAGTTCGTTTCCAGAAATGCAAAGGATGTTTACACTCTTGTGTGTGAGAGAGGGAGAGAGGTTTTAGGGGGCTTGTAATATGATTTTTTTAATTGGACTTAATATATTCATAAAGGATGTGGAATGAGAATGGGTCAGTAACTTGACCAACCTTGCTAATGACACCAAGTTGTTTAGGTGATTAAACAGGAAAAAAAGGTGTAAAAAGAGCTCGTATCTGGGCAAACATAAATTAAAATGGCAAATGGATCTCAGTCCAAGCAAATGTGAAGTGATGTAGGTGGGCAAAAAGGATTATACATCTTTGTTTCCCATAGTTACTGACAAGGAAAGTGGTCTGAAAATGCTTATGAGAAAGTTGATGCAGTATACACCAGCTGTGAAAAGAGCAAATTGCATATTGGGGTTCCCTTGGAGGATTCTGAACATTGCCAACCCCATAATGACTATTCAGATCAGAGGTGTGACTGCAATATTCTCTTCTGGCAATCCAAAAGATATTGTAGAACTTGGGAAGGAAAAGGAACGACAATAGTAATAGAGGTAAAATAATTCCTCTATAACAGGGGTCTCAAACATACGGCCCAGGGGCCATTTGCGGTCCCCCAGATGATAGTTTGTGGTCCTCGCCTTGCCTGTCCCCCAAAGCACCCTCACATCCTCTGCTGTCGAGAGTAAAAAAAAAAAGCCTTGCCTCGCTCGCCGGCTCTCTCCCAAGACATCACCTCTTGCACCCTCCATCCAGAACTGCAGACTGCCAGCCAGCCCACCTGTCAGCTAAGGAAACTCCTGGGCGGCTTCCTTGGGCTCTTGCTCCGCTTGGCGGAAAATCTGATGCGGCTCAGCCTCTAGTGGCCCCCAGGTAAATTGAGTTTAAAACCCCTGCTCTATAAGGAAAAGTTATAATGTGTATAGATGTTTACCTTAGAAAAATGGTGAGGGGAGTGTGAGGGTTCAGTTTCCGGCTCCTTTTGTTGTTCAAATAAACTGGGAAACTTTTGCATTTTTGAAACAGGAGTAAGGTTTATTGGGGTATTTAACAGGTAACCGGTATCAACAGGCTTGTTCCAATGTCTTTCTCCTTCCGACAACAGGTCGGGCGGGGGTTTCCAATCTTCTAGGAACGGGTTCTTTTCACCTGTTACCCATTGACCCAACCAGTCAATAGATAAATTCTGGTCTACCGCTTGTCCCGGTTCACCTTCCAACGGGCACGGT